GTACATATTTTTTTTTATATAGGGTACAGAATCTAATGTGTTACCAGTGAAACTATACAGTGGATCCTTGATTTTCGTGTTTAATCCGTTGTGGAGCCATCGGCCAAAACCAAAATCGTTTTCCCCCATAAGAAATAACGTAAATGGAATTAATTCGTTCCAGACACCCAGAAGTATCAACAAAAAAAAATTTTTTTTACCTTAAATATACATTTACATGCATGAAAGAATGAGCATTAAACATGACACTTAGCTTTTTTTGAAGGCTGTTGTTGCTGGAAGGAAGGCAGGGAGGAAGGGAGAGGGAAGATAGGTTATTGTTTGGAAGGGGAATCCCCCTCCATAAGGACTAGGTACCAAGTCCTTATCTTGGGTCACTTCCCTCCTTTGTTTTTTAATGCCACTAGGATCAGCTTGAGAGTCACTGGACCCCTGTCGCACAAAATATCTGTCCAGATAGGTCTGTTTCTGGCGTCTCTAAGATTTGCCTAAAATGGGACATGGCATTGTCATTGTAAAAGTCACCAGCACGGATTGCAACAGCTTTCTTAGGGTGATGTTGCTCCACAAATCAATGCACTTTAGTCCACATTGCACAAATCTCCTTAATCTTTGAAGAAGGCACCTTCTTCCATCTCTCTTCCTCCTCCTCCTCTGAAGCAATTTCCTGAGCTGTGGTCTCTTGCTGTTGCAGATGAAGCTCTTGCAGCTCATCAGTGGTTAGCTCTTGATTGTGGTCCTCCACCAACTCTTCCACATCCTCCAAACTCACATCCAACCCCATGGAATTTCCTAATGCCACAATTGATTGCACAACAGGTGTAGGGTCGACAGGGTCAGCCTCAAACCTCCCAAAACCCTTCTTTTGGACACACACTGGCCACAGTTTTCACCAAGCAGAGTTCATCGTCCTGGAAGTCACTCCCTGCCTAGCCTTATCTATAAGGCCTATGCAGTGGAAGATAATGAAGCGATTCTTCCAGAACTCTCTAAGGGTCAATTCAGAGTCCGAGGTTATGTCAAAGCACCTTTGAAACATTGCTTTGGGTTACAGTTTTTTGAAGTTTGCAGTGATCTGCTGGTCCATGGGCTGGAGGTTAGGAGTGGCATTAGGAGGCAAAAAACTTCACTGTTACAAAACTGAATTCCTTAGACAATTGGGCTTCCAAGTCTGGAGGATGAGCAGGAGCATTGTCCATTAACAGGAGGCACTGGAGTGGCAATTTCTTATCCAGGAGTATTTTTTCACACTGGGGCCAAACACTTCATTCAACCATTCCAGGAAAATTTCCCTTGTGACCCATGCCCTACTGTTTGCCTTCCACATCACACACAATTTACTCTTAACAACAATGTTTTTCTTGAACACTCTGGGATTTTCAGTGTGATACACCAGTAAAGGCTTCACTTTGAAATCCTCACTAGCATTACCACACAACAAGAGAGTTAGCCTGTCTTTCATAGGTTTGTGTCCTGGGAGTGCCTTTTCCTCCTGCGTGATGTAGGTCCTCTGGCATTTTCTTCCAATAGAGGCCTGTTTCGTCACACTTGAACTCTTGTTGGGGTTGGAATTTTTAAGACTACATAACATTTGTTTTCCCCAATGAATTTTTCAGCTGCTTGTTTGTCTGAACTGGCACCCTCACCGTGCCTTACAACACTGTGTATGCTACTTCGCTTCTTGAAATTTTCGAACCAGCCTTTGCTGACCTTGAATTCACTTTCATCACCACTTGTTTCAGGCAGTTTCTTTATGAGATCCTCATGCCCTGCCTTTTCACAAATAATGGACTGCACAACACTATCTCCTGCTTTGTCTGCACGCTGGGGACTGGACAGGTTCTGTATGATTGATGAAAACTAAGGTAATCGACGAAAACTAAAGCCAAAAATCGACGAAAAAAGTCGGCCAAAACCAAAATCATGATAACTAAGATTGACAAAAACCAAGGGTCCACTGTATATATATATTTTTTAACACACTGACCATCTCCCACTGAGGCAGGGTGACCCGAAAAACTAGAAATATTTTCATCATTGTTCACTCCATCACTGTCTTGCCAGAGGCAGGCCGATACTACAGTTTGGATGGTCCTCCGAACTACAAATGCACTGTACTTCCCGCCTCCATGACTCAAGTCCAGCTGACTACTTTCCCTGAGTCCTGTCACAAATATTGCATTGCTCACATATGCCTGCTCGACATCCAAACCCCTCACACACAAAACCACCTTTACCCCCTCCCTCCAGCCTTTCCTAAGGTAACCCCTTCCCTGCCTTCCTTCCACAATATATTTATACACCCTTCAAGTCATCCTATTTTACTCCAATCCCTCCAAATGTCCAAACCACCTCAAAAGCCCCTACTCAGCCTCTGGATAATACTTTTAGTAACCCTGCACCACCACCTAATCTCCAAGCTACAAATTCTCTGCATAATATTTACACCACATATTGTCCTCAGTGCAAGGGGCTAGTAACCCCTTCTGTATAAATTAATAAATTTAAAAAGAAAAACTTTGCTTTATTTTTAGGTTTCCCTGCCTCAGATACGGCCAGTTGGTCGAGAAAAAAAATGCCCTCAGACGTGTCTCCACTGCCTCCAGCCACCTCCTTGCTACAGCATTCACAACCCATGACTCACACCCATATAAGAGTGGTGGTACCACTGTACTCTCATACATTTACCTTTGATGAGTTCTGAGAGTTTTTCTACTCCCAGAGCCTGGCCTTGGACCAGGCTCATCTGGTGATTGCCTGGTCAACAAGGCTGTTGCTGCTGATGGCCAGGTGATCCACATATGATATCACAGCCTGGTTGATCTGGCAACTGGTGGAGATACTTGTCCAGTTTCTTCTTGAAAATTTCTCTTGTCTGCAGACATTGATACAGTGTTCCCTTATGGTGATGATAATGTCCCTGCTCTTCACAAAGGTTTAGACTTTAAGGCATTCCCAGTAATATTTATGGCTCTTTGCAGGCCGTAAATAATCTCTGTAGGTTCTCCAGCTCTGATATTTCCTCATGCCCTGGATGGAACAGTCAACACTGAGCAATATTCTAAATGAGAGAGCAAAAGCGATTTGAAAAGTGTCACCATTTGCATTATTTCCCTTATTTTGAAAGTTCTCATTTTGTACCTCATCATTTTCCTGGCTGCAGTAACCTTGATCTTATTGTGTTCTTTGAAAGAAAGGTCAGCTGACATAATTACTCCCAGGTCTTTCACATGTTCCTTTCATTGTCATTCCCCTTTTTGACTCCATAGATAACATTCTTTGTCTCCACAGGTGCCTCAGTGTACCACTCACCTTTTTTCCTCATCAGTTCTATAGTTCACCTCATCTGTCATAAACCAATCCACTGAATACTCTGCTCCCAAATATCTGAACACATTCACTTCCTACATACTCCTTCCTTCCAGTCTGATATTGAATTTTTCATTACCTAAATTATTTGTTACCCTCATCACCTTGCTCTTTTCTATGTTCACTTTCAATTGCTTTCTTTTATGTACCCTCCCAAATTCGTCCACCTACCTTTGCAACTTTTCAGAATCCCGCAAAGAGTTGTCATTCTCATAAAAGCAACTGTGCAACTCCCTTTCTATTGATTCGCATTTTTAATCCCACCTCCCATAACCCTAGCATTCAGTTCTTCATTACCCCATCACAGATTTTTCTACAACATTGCTAGTACCATCTGTATAAAAACCGACAATTGTCCCAAATACTGACACATTGATCTTTATCAGAAACCTTTCCCACAATGTGTTTCATCATACAAATATTGTTGCCTCATACTTGGTACTGTGTATCGTTCCTTCAATGCTTGCAGTCTATGTGTCCAGTCCCAAATTGTCGACTACACTTCGACTTCCGAATCCCAAGAGTGATACCTCAAAATCCTAACTGTGACACTCCATTTTGTATTTGATTCTGCAGCTACTTAGTGCCAACCGTTCCGATAAAGATTCCATTTCATACCCCATCAAAAAAATGCTTAAACACCATGGTGACATAATGCATCCCTTTCCAACTTGCTGTTAATGGAAAATAATCTCCTCCTCTCCCTACATACCCATATTAATACCTCTAAATATTATACCTCATAAGATCTAAGTAGTAGGTTGGTAGACAGCAACCACCCAGGGAAGTACTACCGTCCTGCCAAGTGAGTGTAAAATGAAAGCCTGTAATTGTTTTACATGATGGTAGGATTGCTGGTGTCCTTTTTTCTGTCTCATAAACATGCAAGATTTCAGATACGTCTTGCTACTTCTACTTACACTTAGGTCACACTGCACATACAAGTACAAGCATATACATACACACCCCTCTGGGTTTTCTTCTGTTTCTTTCTAGTTCTTATTCTTGTTTATTTCCTCTTATCTCCATGGGGAAGTGGAACGGAATTCTTCCTCCGTAAGCCATGCTTGTTGTAAGAGGCGACTAAAATGCCGGGAGCAAGGGGCTAGTAACCCCTTCTCTTGTATAAATTACTAAATTTAAAAAGAGAAACTTTCGTTTTTCTTTTTGGGCCACCCTGCCTTGGTGGGATACGGCTGGTTTGTTGAAAAAAAAAAAAATCCTTAACTGCTTTCAGTAACCTACCACCTATTCGATACACTTGCAACATCTGCCACATTGCTCACCTATCCTCCCTATCATATGCCTTTTCTGAATCTATAAGTGCAATGAAAACTTCCTTACTTTTATCTAAATATTGTTTACTTAAATGCTTCGCTGTAAACACTTGGTCTACACATCCCCTATTCTTCCTAAAGCCTCTTTGTTCATCTGTGATTCTGCTTTTTCCCTTATTTCTTTCAATAATGACTCTACTATACCCTTTACCTTGAGCTGGTGATGGGCTTGCTCTTGCTGAATCTTGGCAATTGCAAGAGTTTTAGCAGATGACATATTCTTTCTTAGTTTTTAATGAAATGTTTGTAACATTTTTAGCTTGCTTTTAAACAGTCTTAATGAAATTCTTTGTTTTTGTTTTTTCTTCAGGAAATGGCTTGTGGAATCTCGGCTGCTTGTCGGGGCCCACAAACTGAGCGACAAAAATTCTGCTTTAAAATCTTTGATAGGGATCGGGATGGGAAACTCTCTAAAGATGAATTAACTGCCATGGTTCAGGCTCTTCTACTTTTACGAGACGAAGAACATGTGGAAGGCAGTGGTGTGTTAATGAGTATTTTATATACAGTACAGTATTACCCTTTTCCTTTGTGTTGTACAAAGAAGCCACACACGGTTAGTGCTTGTGCATCATTCCTTCTCATAACTCATACCAGTACTGAAGAAATACACTATCAATAAAATTTTGGATTTTTTTTATACTGCAACAGCGATGATAATTTTTTCAAGAAACTGCATTTCATTTGTGTTGATATTGTCACTGTAAATACTTGTTGATATTGTAACTGTAAATACCTGGTTTTGTCATTCCCATCTTACACTTTGTTATTTTTTAAATTAACATATTTTTAAATTTAACTATTAGATTTTGTATTTTGTTTTTAAATCTTGTTTTAAATTTCAACTTGGTTGAATGGCTGTGTTTATGATTGGTATTGCAAGTTAATATTTCCCAGTTATAACCTTGTATTGTAAATTTCTTTGGGATATTGGCTGTTTGGAGGGACATCTAAACTGTCGTATCTGAGCACCTCTGTAAAGACACTGATTATGTATGAGTGATGGTGAAAGTGTTGAAAGATGATGAAAGTTTTTTCTTTTTGGGTCACCTTGCTTTGGTGGGAAACAGCCGACGTGTTAAAAAAGAAAAATTCCCATGTTTGCCGGACTTGAGTTCTGGAGGTGGGAAGTACAATGCTTTCACTTTAAAGGAGGGTTTTGGGATATTTGCTGTTTGGAGTGACATCTGAATTTTGTATTTGGGCACCTCTGCAAAGACAACGATTGTGTGTGCATGATGGTGAAAGTGTTGAATGATGGTGAAAATGTTTTTCTTTTTTGGGTCACCCTGCCTTGGTGGGAGATGCCAATGTGTTGAAAAAAAAATGTTCATGTATAAGCTCTTATTTAGGGTTGGGATTTCATTGGAAGGGGATGTTGTTGCATATAAAAAGATTAGTGTGGGTGGAAGTATGTAATGATAATTATGGAGTAATATAGGAATTGAGCTCTTGCTCAGTGATATTCTAGTTACTTGTGCCACAAATTGTGTCATGGTTAAGTTTTAAGTGTTTGAACCAGATGTCTTGCTGTTTACTGGGTTGTTGTGGATCCCAGCTATTTCAACAAATTCCTTTGTACCTCAACAACCCATCACCCAAGTGCATTGTAACATTGTCCATAGTCCTCCAAAAGAATGAAGGAAAGTATGATCTCTTACTACATATTTATTTGATGGGATGTTAGGTAAATTTGAGGTACAATACATACAAGAGGTCTGAGGTCCACTACAGTCTATTGAGAGTAGTGGTAATTCCAGCTCCAGTGATTTTGAAGCTTTTCATAGTGTGATTGTAGTATATAAATGGGAAGCTGTTGACACATGATTTTCTCAGGGTGGATGAGGGAGTGAGTCAAAAAAAAAGAAAAGTACAAGCCTTTATTACAATGTTTCATTAGAGTGACTCATTTAACCCTTTCAGGGTCCAGAGGCCAAATTTCAAAGTGCGCACCAGTATCCAAGAATTTTCAAAAAATAATTTTATTTTTTCTTATGAAATGGTAGAGAATCTTTTTCTGAAGGTAATAAAAGAAAAAGTACAAAATTTGATGGAAAATTGACGAAATTATGCTCTCGCAAATTTTGATGTGTCAGTGATATTTATGCATCGGCGATTTTGCCAACTTTGACTCCCAGTTTAGGTCAATTACCTTATTCCAGTCGACCAAATTCTTAGCTATTTCACTAGTATTACTTCTATTCTATTGACTGAGCACAAGAAATTGCCAACTCAACTGTTTCAACTACAAAATAAAGTGATTGGAAATTGGTAATTTGGCCAACTTAGTGCAAAGTTCAAAATATTCCAACTTCAAAATAGGGTCAGAATAAACAATGCAGGCATTCCTGGCACTAAACTAACATTTCCTCTGTTCATTAGTTACATTTTCAGGCTTTACAAATGAATTCCATTTTGATTTTTAATTCACATGGTATGGTTCACATAATGATTTTTTATTCAAACCAAAAAATAGAAGATTTACTGTCATGCAATATTGTAATAATTATATAAATAACAGCACATTTGTGAATGTATATTATACCCACCAGCTGGCGTGTATTAGACGTGTGAGTTCATTTGTTTACTCTAACATCGGCAAAAATTTAACATTTCTGCTACTTTGAGCTCAGTTTCAAGCCATTTTCAGTACTAAAACCAATCAAAATCATCTCTATTTCTGTAATATATCTTCCATTCTATCATATGAGACCACGAAATCACAAATACAAATATAAAAAACGTACGAGAAAACGCTGCAAAGTTGCTGTTTTAATCGAAAATTACGGTCTCGGTTTTTTTTTTCTCTCATTATGCACTGTGTGCTGCAGGATTTGTTTTATGTGGTGCACACATACCACATAGATGTATTCTCTCATATCTAGGCCTAAATTTACTGCTCACAGCTTATCAGAGTGAGCTGAGCTCATGGCGTAGGTCTACGGTTTGGACCCTTAACGTAAAGCCGTAGATCTATGGCACGGACCCTGAAAGGGTTAATTAGCCTTAACACTATTTTGTGTAATTTTTTTTTCATGCTTCTCACATGACTATTCAGTTTTCTCAATATTTCATTGTGAATTTTAGTTTGCTTAAACTTTCATTTTTTTTTTTATTTGGTTGTATGACTTGTACATGTATTTTCATGAACCTTACAGAAGTATTGTATGTGCAGACAGGTATATGTTAAGCTGTCATAACAATAGCGTTGTCTTTAACAGACGATGTGTGTTTGGGTGTTTCCCCAGACTGTGTCCAGAGACTAGTAAGAGAATTATTAGAAAACCACGATCCAAGCAACTCAGGATTTGTGACACAAGAGGAATACCTTATGTGGACACTACACAACCTACTCTCCACAGCTCTACTAGACATTATATTCCAGGTCAGTTTCCTTAAGAATTAACTTGAAAAATATTTGTACTATGATACATTGGTTTCATGGTGTATATTGTCTTTTATGGTGCTAGAAATTTGAAGACTTTGTTTGCAGACTGTACTTCAGAAATGTTTTAAGAAATAAATTTCAGATTTGACACAGATATCTTCACTACCATAATGTTTGCTGTATGCAGCATGTAGAGTCTTGAAAGAATTCTAATGGATTTTCTTTTTTTTACTCAAGGAGATTCAATTCTGCCTCAACTCTACCTAGTTACTTATTACACTAAGTTAATTTTATTTTTTATTTTTTATATGTATTGTGCTCACTTGGTGTGATACTAATTTTTTTTTTTTTTTTTTTTTTTTTTTTAACAAGTCGGTCGTCTCCCACCGAGGCAGGGTGACCCAAAAAAAAAGAAAGAAAATCCCCAAAAAGAAAATACTTTCATCATCATTCAACACTTTCACCACACTCACACATTATCACTGCTTTTGCAGAGGTGCTCAGAATATAACAGCTTAGAAGCATATACGTATAGAGATACACAACATATCCCTCCAAACTGCCAATATCCCAAACCCCTCCTTTAAAGTGCAGGCATTGTACTTCCCATTTCCAGGACTCGAGTCCGACTATATGAAAATAACCGGTTTCCCTGAATCCCTTCACTAAATATTACCCTGCTCACACTCCAACAGATCGTCAGGTCCCAAGTATCATTCGTCTCCATTCACTCCTATCTAACACGCTCATGCACGCTTGCTGGAAGTCCAAGACCCTCACCCACAAAACCTCCTTTACCCCCTCTTTCCAACCCTTTCGAGGACGACCCCTACCCCTCTTTCCTTCCCCTATAGATTTATATGCTTACCATGTCATTCTACTTTGATCCATTCTCTCTAAATGACCAAACCACCTCAACAACCCCTCTTCTGCCCTCTGACTAATGCTTTTATTAACTCCACACCTTCTCCTAATTTCCACACTCCGAATTTTCTGCATAATATTTACACCACACATTGCCCTTAGACAGGACATCTCCACTGCCTCCAACCGTCTCCTTGCTGCTGCATTTACCACCCAAGCTTCACATCCATATAAGAGTGTTGGTACTACTATACTTTCATACATTCCCTTCTTTGCCTCCATAGATAACGTTTTTTTGACTCCACATATACCTCAACGCACCACTCACCTTTTTTCCCTCATCAGTTCTATGATTAACCTCATCCTTCATAAATCCATCCGCCGACACGTCAACTCCCAAGTATCTGAAAACATTCACTTCTTCCATACTCCTCCTCCCCAATTTGATATCCAATTTTTCTTTATCTAAATCATTTGATACCCTCATCACCTTACTCTTTTCTATGTTCACTTTCAACTTTCTACCTTTACACACATTCTCAAACTCATCCACTAACCTTTGCAATTTTTCTTTAGAATCTCCCATAAGCACAGTATCATCAGCAAAAAGTAACTGTGTCAATTCCCATTTTAAATTTGATTCCCCATAATTTAATCCCACCCCTCTCCCGAACACCCTAGCATTTACTTCTTTTACAACCCCATCTATAAATATATTAAACAACCATGGTGACATTACACATCCCTGTCTAAGACCTACTTTTACTGGGAAGTATTCTCCCTCTCTTCTACACACCCTAACCTGAGCCTCACTATCCTCATAAAAGCTCTTTACAGCATTTAGTAACTTAACACCTATTCCATATACTTGCAACATCTGCCACATTGCTCCTCTATCCACTCTATCATATGCCTTTTCTAAATCCATAAATGCAATAAAAACTTCCCTACCTTTATCTAAATACTGTTCACATATATGCTTCAATGTAAACACTTGATCTACACATCCCCTACCCACTCTGAAACCTCCTTGCTCGTCCGCAATTCTACATTCTGTCTTACCTCTAATTCTTTCAATTATAACCCTACCGTATACTTTTCCTGGTATACTCAGTAAACTTATTCCTCTATAATTTTTACAATCTCTTTTGTCCCCTTTCCCTTTATATAAAGGGACTATACATGCTCTCTGCCAATCCCTAGGTACCTTCCCCTCTTTCATACATTTATTAAACAAAAGTACCAATACTAATACTTATTGCATTTTTTAAACTTTTTGTTTTCTAGTCCAAAGATTGTATCATTTTCCAGATGCATTTGTAGCACCTGAACTAATTTATGCAGGTTAATTTATTGATATTAAGTTATAATGTGTTAGATTGATTCTTGTAAAACTTGAAAAATCATATTTGCATCATAGGATGTGTTGTGTTTATTGATGTTGCCTTAGGATGGTCAGTTTAGTTAAAAAGTTTTTGTATAATGTTATTCCAAAAGTAACTTTATTGTTTTTCTCAGGTGTGCCATATTGTGCTTGGCTTGAAGCCTAGCACTCGTGCAGAAGAAGGAGAGATTGTTCTTGGTTGGTTGCGAAGAGCAGAGACCAAGTCTCTAACAATTGGCCAGTTTTGGTATATTATTAATATGGAATGGTGGAATCTTTGGCTTGAATATGTTAATCATCAGGTAAGATCTTTTTGTGTTTAGGATTGTATATTTTGATCTTTTGAAATATTTTAGCAGTAAGGCAATATATTGTTGACTAGTGCCTTACATAACTAATTTTTGTCAGTACATGGAGGAAATGATTGTACTTCATTATTTCCTAGTCCCCTGGATCAGACAGCAGTTCTTTAAGTCCATCGTCACACAGCAGTTCACCTGCCAGTTCTCAGTGTGGCTCTCTCAAGCGCACCAAACTACAAAAAAAATCTGCAAATTCAGAGGGAACTGTTGCCTCTGATGCAAGCCAGTAAGTTTATTTTTCTGTTACAGTATGCATGTAGTTTGCAATTTTTTGTTGTTTGCAGTATTTTCTTGTTCATTCTAGAAAGTAGCATTTTTCTAGAATGATTTGATGAACATCCAGTAAATTAACAGTATGTTCATTAGATAGGTATAAACTGAATGTAATTTTTATTGGAAAATTTGTATTAGTCTGAATAATGTGAATAAGTTTAAAAACCTACTGTCTTTAATATTTGTAATTGAATCTCTTAACCTGTGTAATAAAGTGTAGGAATATCTTTTAAGATTATGAAACATTGTTTCTTAGCACACCAGCCATCTCTTACCAAGGCTGGGTGACCTGAAAATGAAGAAAAAGTTTTCCTTTTTACATTTAGTAATTTATGCAGGAGGGGTTGGTAGCTCCTTGCTCCTGGCATTTTAGTTGCCTCTTAAAACATGCATGGCTTACAGAGGAAGGATTATACAGTATATCTTAATTTTTTACCTGGTGGATACTCTGCACAATTAAGAGAGCTCTTTTTTTCATTGTTGTTGTTGTTGGTCATGTAATGGAACTAAAGGCACCACAGAGATTGTGGCTTATCCATTTTTTTTTTCCACCAATAAAAAAGATTTGTCCAGTCTCCAACCAAGACAGAGAGAGCTGGTGCACTAAAAAGAAATCCAGCACCACCTGGTAATCAGTGTTCAGAAACAGTGTTATTAACTTCATAAACATGCAGTTATACTAATATTTGTATTAAAATGAAAATGTGTAAAAAATGCTACAGTTTACATAATACATCATGTATGGTTTATTTGAGCTAAATAGTTTCTAGGGAGAGTGATTTTAACACTGCATAGATCATTTAATGAGCAAACAGTCATAAAGACATGAATTTGTGCCTCATTGGGCAGACCCTTAATGTGCTGTATGATAAAGAATGAAGTCACAACACCATGGGTGTAATTCACCAAAAACCCATACTTAGGTGAGAAACCTTATGACAGTGTTTCAGTCATAAGTTGCATCTGGGGCAAGACATGTAGAGAAGGAAATAGACTATATGGTAGGGGGGCAGGGGAAGAAGGTAGTGGCAGTAGTAGGAGGCTGAAAATTCGCCTAGATGAATTTGGGAGTGAATGTATGAAGGGTGGAGTCAGTGTGGAGGAAAAGGTTATCAACAGTGAGTTGAAGAGTGGCAACCGGTTCAAGTGGAATATGGTCTCTACTAAAGGTAGAAGTATCAAGATGAGGAATCTTAATAGAGAAGATCTGAAGGTGGGAAATTGATTCTCTGTTCTTCAAGATGAGTGTACTTCAGTGGTTAGCAAGGTTAAAGGTACCACTAACTCCCTTGCCAATCAAGGTAAGAACATTCTGGTTGTGGGTGACTTACAGGTAAGATATATGGACTGTGCTTTCTGTAACAGAGATTGGAATGTTAGAGTGTGCACTTCCCAGGAGCTGGTGTTGATGACATAGTCAGTAGGTTGGATAATATTATGTCAGGTAATGGGAAGAAGCCCATCATGTGTCTTAGTGCTGGTGGAAATGATATCAGGAAGGGCAGGAGACAAGTGCTGCTGGATAGGTACAAGTTAGCCATAGATGTAATTAGGTCTAAGGGAGGGGTCTCAATCATATGTAGCATCTTACCTAGAAGGGGAGTGGGCAATGAATGGATGTCTAGGGCAATTGGTGTAATTTGCTGGTTAGAGAGGTGCTGCAAGGAATTTTCAATTCCATTCATTGATAACTGGGACAAATTTTATGGCAAACATGATATGTATGCAAGGGATGGGGCACATATCTCAGGGGCCAGAGTGGTTGCATTAGCCAGCTCGATTGAAGGGGCCATTGCTGACTTGTCTAGGATTTTAAACTGATAGATTATAGAGGTATAGGTGTGTGTGGGAAATAATCAGGCTGCAGTACAAGGGTTGAAAACAGCAGATATTACCAGGATGCCTCAGAGATATGTTTAATAGACAGTATTCAAAATAAAGTTACTAGTAAAGGCAAAGCATTTGATCAACACAGAGAGACAGTAGAGGACAAAGAGTGATTAGCTCCCTTAAGGTTTACTGTACTAATAATAGGAGTCTAAGAAACAGGATAGATGAGCTAAGAATACTTGCATGTGTAGATAATCTAGATATTATTGCTATAACGGAGACCTGTTTCAACCTGAAATGCCACATACAAGGCTGTAAAATATTCCACACTTATAGGGTCAACAGGAAGGGTGGTGGAGTGACAATGTATATCAGAGATAATTTAAAATGTTGTGTTATACAAGATATAAGATTAGAAGCATCGGACTCAGAATCTGGCTATAGTTTCTCGAGGGTCGTGACAAATTAATTTTAGGTGTGATTTATAGGCCCCCAAGTCTTGATAGGGAGTACAGTAAGCTGCTATGGGATGAAATTCATAAGGCATCTAGGTATGAAAATGTGTTAATTGGAGATTTTAACTTTAGACAAATTGATTGGAACAGTATGACAGGAAATCTTGAGTCTAGTGACTTTCTTGGTACAATTCAGGATTGCTTTTTAAAACAGTTTATGACAGAACCAACTAGAGGAAACAATCTGCTAGATTGGTTCTTACCAACAAGGAATCACTAATTAATGATCTTGAGGTTAGCGATGAGCTTGGGGAAAGCGATCACAAATCACTTAGTTTAAGTATATCATGGAATTACCCAGATAACTGCAGTCCAGTCTCTGTCCCAGACTTCCAATTGGCCGATTTCATGGGACTGAGAAATTACCTGGGTGGGCTAAATTGGAGCGACCTGACTATGGGTCAGGTAGGTGGTGTTGGTTGCCATTATGATGTTTTTCAGAGCATAGTTCTAGCTGCCCAGACAATTTATGTTCCAAGTAGGGATATTATATCAACTGAAAATGATCCCAAATGGATAAACAATAGATTAGAACATCTCATTGGTCAAAAGAGGCCTCTAATAACCCAGCAAAAGGCTGCAGTCAGAATGATAACAAATTCCCACACATGACAGCATACTCCACCTCTATTCAAAAGTCTAAATTTGCTCACCATAAGAACATCCACACTTATTCATGTGCCTACTACATACATAGAACAATACACGTAAACATAAACCCTCCACTCAAACTTCTCCTCACCAACCTTAACAGGACACACGACCATAACACAAGACACAGATCTCTTATTGATGTACCCCGTGTCCATATCACACTGTAAAAACTCTATGCATATAAAGGGCCCCAAGATCTGGAATTCATTATCAGAACATACATCGATTTAAGACTTCTAAAAAAAACCACTTACTCACCCAGGACTAAATAATCAACATTCAATATTTAACATTACCAATAAATCTCCCAATTATTTAAATCTTAAAACTTCAAGACAACATGGAATAAATTGATCATCTTGTTTGTTATACATTGTAATGCAACAAATTTGTACAACTATAATGCTTCAAAATTGAAATGTTCAAATTTCATTGTTTCATATATTTTCAATTGTACTTCGCATTGTAAATTGTTTACAGTAATTTTTACCACTGAACCTTTCATTGCTTAGTTAATTTTAAGTTAATTTTAAGCTTGCCCATAATGCTCTGCATACAAGGGGCTTTTGGCATGTACACCCAACTATTATAATTCCTTGTACAACTATGTATCATGTCCAAATAAACTATATGAATATATATAGGCATATCAAAAGAGGAGAGGGGCAGCTAAGAAATCAATATATTCAGTTAGAGAGAGAAATAGAAAAGGGAATAAGAGAAGTTAAAAGAGATTGAGGCTGAAGTGGCAAGGGATTTGAAGACTAACCCAAAAGGTTTCTTTTAGGTATATAGAAGTAAAATTAGGGACAAAATTGGCCCACTCAAAGTAACTCAGGTCAGATCACTGACAGTGATAAAGATATGTGTGAAATTTTTAACTTTTATTTTCTCTTATTTTTACACAGGAAGATACTAGCGAAATTCCAGAAATTATAAATTACGTAGAACAGGATGATGATAAACTATGCACAATTAGGGTAACTAATGACATGATCCTCAGACAAATAGAGAAATTAAAACTGAACAAATCCCCAGGCTCTGATGAACTGTTTGCAAGGGTTTTAAAGGAATGTAAAGAAGAGCTTAGCAAACCTTTGGCCAATCTTTTCAACATATCTCTGCAAACTGGCATAGTGCCGAACAAGTGAAAAATGCCAAATATAATACCTATTTACAAAGTAGAAGATGGGTCTTTTGCTTCGAACTATAGACCAATGAGCCTTACCTCCATAGTGGGAAAATTTATGGAATCGATAATTGCCAAGGCAGTTCGTAGCCATCTTGAAAGGCATAAATTGATTAATGAATCTCAGCACGGATTTACAAAGGGGCGTTCCTGCCTTACATATTTACTAACTTTTCACCAAGGTATTTGAGGAGGTAGATCATGGTAATGAATATGATATTGTGTATATGGACTTCAGTAAGGTTTTTGATAGAGTTCCACATCAGAGGCTATTGAGGAAAATTAAGGCACACGGAATAGGAGAAATTTTTTCCTGGGTAAAGGCATGGTTAACAGATAGGCAGCAGAGTTTTCATCAATGGGGAGAAATCAGAGTGGGGGCACATCACAAGTAGTGTTCCACAGAGGTCACTGTTGGGCCCTTTTATGTTCACAATTTATATGAACGACATTGATGAGAGAATAAATAGCAACATAAGCAAGTTTGCTATTGACACCAAAATAGGTTGCGTAATTCATTCAAAGAGAACATTAGAGCACTCCAAGAAGATTGGAGTAGACTGATGCAGTGGTTGGAGAAGTGGCAGATGCAGTTTAATGTAGACAAATGCAAAGTTCTAAACATTGGACAAGAATATAACCATGCCACATATAAACTAAATAATGTAGATCTTAATATTATTGATTGCAAAAAGGATTTGGGAGTTCTGTTTATCAGTAATCTAAAACCAAGACAACAATGCATAAGTGTTCGCAATGAAGCGAACAGAATCCTTGACATCATATCAAGAAGCATAAATAATAGGAGTCCTCAGGTTGTTCTTCAACTCTGTATCTTTGGTTAGGCCTCATTTAGATTATGCTGCACAGTTCTGGTCACCATATTACAGAATGGATATAAATGCACTGGAAAGCGTACAATGGAGGATGACCAAGTTGATCCCATGTATCAGAAATCTTCCCTATGAGGATAGGCTTAGAGCCCTGAATCTGCACTCTCTAGAAAGACATTGAATTAGGGAGATGTGATTGAGGTGTATAAATGGAAAACAGGAACAGATGACGGGAATATAAATAGTGCTAAAAATAGCTAGCCAAGACAGGACTCTCAGCAATGGTTTAAAGTTGGAAAAAATTCAGAATCACAAAGGATATAGGAAAGCACTGGCTTGGTAATAGAGTTGTGGATTAGTGGAGCAAACTCCCAAGTACCATCATAGAAGCTAAGATGTGTAGTTTTAAAAATAGATTAGATAAATACATGAGTGAGTGTGGGTGGGTGTGAGTTGGACCTGATTAGCATGTACTAATAGGTCTGATGCCATTCCCCTTCCTTAAGTGGATGTGACCTGACCTGACTATGTGGGTCATTGGTTTAAGCTGGGAGGTGACTTGGACTTTCCTTGCATGGGCCAGTAGGCCTTTGCAGTGTTCCTTCTTTCTTATGTTCTTATCTTAGTAGCAGAAGACAGGTCAAGAGAAAGGAGAGGAGGAAGCAAAGGTCAGATTGCCATAAGTGTTCTGAAGATTAGCACATTTGACAGTGTACTGAGAAAGGCAAGCATCTAGGAAAGTTTTGCATAATGGCTGATTCGGCACGACAGAAGGGTAGATACAGCAGAGGGACCAGGTAATAGGATGGCTGTGATCTCTAACATGACAGAAGTAAGTTTATTCAGGTATGCACAAATACAGTTACATAGATTATCATACATAGCAGCATATGTGTAGAGAACCTAGGATAACTCAAAAAAGTCAGTGACTTATTTCCATTGGGGAACATTGTTGGTGTTGGCAAGGCAAACATATCTTTTGTGCTGTCAAAAAGGGAGCAGCCTGTTTCATCAAAGTATTGGAGAGTACACGAGGAGAAGGAAATGAGTAAACACTGGAAGCATCAGTGACAGGAGAAGTATGAACAAGATTACTTTGAAGGGTATTAGCATGATGAAAAGTAAGTTTAGTATCTTGAGGACAGAGGGTACTGTTAACAAGCTTTTCTTCAGTCTCTTGAGAGGTCAGGAAGTGAAATGATCTTGATGAAGAATGGGGAAGGCAGACTCTATACATATTATTAAGAGCATTTATGATAGGGCCCATGAGGCTTGGAGGGAATGAATCTGGCAAGAAGCAAGTTGAAAGGTGGGGTTAGGAGCTAGGACCCACCCCCCTGTAATCACAACTTGGTAAGTACACAGGAACACATCCTTTCTTGTGGGCCAGATGTACTTTTTCCCCTCAGACTATTCCTGTTTAAAATGTTTGTTGGTTTCAGGAATTGTGAAATAAACACTTTTTTTAACAGTGTTAATTCTGTGGAATGACTGGGGGGGTGCACCTGCTGATTTCTTGGAGAGTGTATTGTTTAAATACCACTTCATTGAAAAAATCAACAATTGTTTGATTCAGGATTTTGGCATGCTATATTAAATTTCAAGGCTGGAAGATGGGTTAGACTGTACCTGATTTCATTTTTGTATGTTCCCTTTTTAAATTCATCACTAATTTTTCTTATTTTATGGATTTTTATACTATCATATATTGTGAGTATTTGGTACAAAATTGATTTATTGAAAAATAATATTTCTTTCGTGTGTGCTAGGGGGCAGTTTTGCCAGCTTAGGGGTCAGATTCTGTTTCTTTAACAAGTCTAGAAAGAGATGGATCGGCCGCTTAGAAATAGGCTCTCAAAAGGGAAAAACTCCAACGTCAGGGGGCATTCTGACCCACCCCCTCGAAAAAAAATTTCGTTCAAGCAGTCTTTCAGTTCAAATTATAAAGCAAACAGGTACTTTAAAAATTTTTTTTAATTTAAAAAAAACCTTCAAAGGAAATTTTACTTAAAAAAACTAGAAATGTTTCTGTTTTCGGATATCTATTTTTTTGCGTTATATGAGAATGGTACTTGTTTTTTCAACGTAAATTTCTAGTGGAAACCCTCTTCCCCATTTAAAAATTTTCACAGCTCAATTAATTAATTACAAATTTATTTCTTTATAAAGTGTTGTTTTAGTCGATTTGTGCCTTTGATTATCTTCACTTTTTTTCTCGCTTGCTTTTAAAACTGAGTAATTTCATGATTTCTTTAAAGGAATATGGAGAGTTTCAAAATGTCCCATCCTGATTTTTTATTTCTTCATTTGAATATTTTTTTCAATGTAACCCCCAATGGCAAAAATACTAGATTCTGTTTTCTGTTAGGTGAACAGGAGGTGAAAAGGGAACCTTCCCTCGTGTCTAAACTTCAATACCTTACATTATTGTGTGCCCGAAGCAGTGAATTGTAGGTAATGTTAGGTTTCTTAATTTGACTGATGCAATTTTTGCTTGCCCCAGCAAAGGAGTTTTCTTATACCTCATAAAGAACATACAAGGAGGAGCACGTAGTAACTTATTTGGCCCAAAGCTATGGAGGTCAAACCGCCCCTCATATATCATTCAGCCTTTTTCTTAAGTTATTTTAAGTTTTGGGTTTAATTGATGTATTTAGCATTTGTCTACTCTCCCAAATCTACTTTTGTACTGAAAAAATTTTTTCCAAACATTCATTTTTTCATCATAGTGTTTAAATCCATTTTTTTACACAAAAATTTAAATTTTCAAACTGAGGCTGTTATCCCAAATTTATTCCCAACCAGTCTTTAAAGGTGATTGACCCACACATTCCTCTACCAAAGTAAGGTAAAAAGCCCCCTCTCCACCCCCCCCAAAATTTGAAAACCGGGGGGCCCCTTTAGTTGTAATAAATGTGTACCCCTTGGGCCCCAAACCACCTTTTTAGCAAATATCCCCCCATTGGGGATCCAGTGTATTTTCCTGTCTAAAACTTATTTCCCATGTGTGTGTTGGGGAATCTCATTTTTAGAAAATTTTTAAAAAAATTGAAATTTTTTATTTTCCCCAAAATTTTGCATAATTCCCGGTAGTGTGGGAGAGAAAAAGTGAGTGAATGTGAGAGGGGAGGAGATTATGAGAGAGAAAGAGAGAGATTTTGTATGAAAGATTTTTTTTTTGTGTGTGTGTGTGTTTGTGTGAGAGAGAGAGAGAGAGAGAGAAGAGAGAGAGAGAGAGAGAGATTGGGAGAGAGAGAGAGAGAGAGAAGAGGATATTGTGAGAGAGATTGTGTGAATGGAGAGATTGTGTGAGAGAGATTGTGTGAGAGAGATTGTGTGAGATTGTGAGAGATTGTGAGAGAGAGATTGTGAGAGAGAGATTGTGAGAGAGAGATTGTGAGAGATTGTGAGAGATTGTGAGAGAGAGATTGTGAGAGATTGTGAGAGAGAGATTGTGGAGAGAGATTGTGAGAGAGAGATTGGAGAGATTGTGAGAGGGAGATTGTGAGAGGGAGATTGTGGAGAGGGAGATTGTGGAGGGAGATTGTGAGAGGAGATTGTGAGAGATTGTGAGAGATTGTGAGAGATTGTGAGAGAGATTGTGAGAGAGATTGTGAGAGAGATTATGAGAGAGATTATGAGAGAGATTATGAGAGAGATTGTGAGAGATTATGAGAGAGAGAGAGAGATTGTGAGAGAGTGAGTGTTAGTAAGTTAGTTATAAAACTGTATTTCATAAAGAAAATTGTACTGTGAGATATATATACCAGGATAGGAGACGGGTAGTACCTCCCTCTCTCCAGCACTTTAATGCAATGAAACTACTTAAAATTGTTTTCATGCATCATTGTTTGATAACATTGTTGTTGGTATGTGCTATGCCACAAATTACACCTTTGATTACCTCTTTCAAAGTGAGTTCTATAATATTTGTAGTTGATCTAATGTGATATATTCTGCAGGCATGTAGAAAGTTCTATAGCAAATTTTTGTTCCTGAATTCTTAACAGATGCAGTAGTACGTCGAGCCCCAGTCACTCGCCCCGACTAACTCGACGTGCAGCCACCAGTCCAGGACCACTGCTGGTCCCTTCACGACCACCTGCCATTGATAATTCTCCTCTCGTTGAGCCAAACACATCAAAAGTAAGTGTGGCTTGTATTTTATAAGTTTTGATGTGAAGCTTTATTTTGCTAAATGTACCTTATTTCAATGTTGGTTCTGTAAAATTTAGACTTGTGTAGTTCTGATGAGGTATACAGTTTGTTGTTGTTGTGATGAGGTATACAGTTTGTAGTTGATGCAATGTTTACTGAAAACAGTTTGTAGTTAATCCAATTAGGTATACAGTTTGTAGTTGAATGATGAGTTAGTTCTATGCAGTGTTTATTGGAAACAGGATCAAGATCAGGTGAAGCAGAGAATGATCAGGTTGGGTGCATAGTAGTGCAGTGGACCCCTGGTTCGCGATATTAATCCGTTCCTGAGAGCTCATCGTAAACCAAAATTATTGGAAAGCGAATCAGTTTTCCCCATAAGAAATAATGGAAATCAAATTAATCCGTGCAAGACACCCAAAATTATGAAAAAAAAACTTTACCACATGAAATATTAAGTTTAATGCAATAGAATAATTACAATAACAACAATAACAATAGAATAATAACAATAGAATAATTGACACTTACCTTCAATGAAGATCTGGTGATGATTGATGGGATGGGAGGAGGGGAGAGTGTTGAACCTATTGTTTAGAAGGGGAATCCCCCTCCATTAGGGGGATTCCCTAATGGATGGTTGATTGGGGTTTACTATACAACTTGGCCAGCTCCGACACACGCACTCCACTTTCGTACTTTGCAATTATCTCTTTCTTCATTTCAATAGTCATTAGCTCCCCTGGTCTCGAAGGGTTGGCACTAGAAACTTTCTTGGGGCCCATGGTGACTTATTTTGCAGAAACAAGCACCAAAAACAAGTGATAATATGGATAATATGGAATGTACCGAATGTATCCTTAGATGCGTGCACACTGGCTGGCTTGTAAACACTGGCACACACGGGGCAGTTCAGGCCACACGTGGACACGTCTCGTACGAATTGCATCGCATACTGGGTTTTGTAATGGGAACCGAGGCAAATTTTTTGCGATATAATGCATCGGATACCGGATTTATCGGATACCGATAGCATCGCGAACCGGGGGTCCACTGTACAGCGGAACCCTGAATATCGGCCACTGCGTTTATCATCCGAATCGTATTTAGGCCGGTTTTTGGGCCGAAATTTTGCTCCATATTTTGGCCGGTGCCTCGCAGATCAGCTGTATTAGACACGTCAGTGTGCCTCCTGCTGGGACGCCATGAGTAGGTGAGTCAGTCTCCCTGTCTCTCTTGGTGAATGAGCATACTCTGCACATTCATACAAACATTTCCTTAAAATCCATTGGGTTTTGTGCTTGTTTAATAAATGCGACTGTGAAATAAGCCACTATGGGCCCGAATAAAGTTCCTAGTAAAGTTCCTTTGGTAAAGAAAGTGAGAAACAATGGAATTTAAGAAAGAAATTATTGAAAAATATGAGAGTGGTGTGCGTGTGCTCCAGCTTGCCAAGGTGTATCACAAAAACAAATCAACAGTCACTTCTATCCTGGGAAAGAGAGAACAAATCAAGGAAGCTGATGTGGCGAAAGGGGTAAACATGTTAACGAAAAAGAGATCACAAACAATGGAAGATGTGGAGTTGTTTTTGTGGATCAGTGAAAAACGGGAGATAGTGTTTCAGAGACAATCATTTGTGAAAAGGCAAGGCAGTTGCATGTGGATCTCGTAAAGAAAATGCCTGGAATTAGTGCTGATATTAGTGAATTTAAGGCCAGCAGATGCTGGTTTGACATATTTAAGAAGGGTAGTGGCATACACAGTGTTGTAAGGCATGGTGAAGCTGCAAGTTCAGACAAACATGCGGCTGAAAAATTTGTGCAGGAATTCAAGGGGTACGTAGAGACTTAAGAATTCTACCCCCAACAAGTGTTCAGTTGTGACGAAACAAGCCTCTTTTGGAAGAAAATGCCAAAGAGGACCTACATCATGCAGGAGGAAAAGGCACTGCAGGAACACAAGCCTGTGAAGGATAGGCTGACTCTTTTGTTCTGTTTTAACGATAGTGGGGATTTCAAAGTGAAGCCTTTACTGGCGTATCACTCTGAAAATCCCAGTGTTCGAGAAAAACAACGTCATCAAGAGTAAATTGTGTGTGATGTGGAAAGCTAATCATAAGGCATGGGTCATGAGGCAATTTTTCATTGACTGGGTCCATGAAGTGTTTAGCCCAAATGTGAAAAAATACCTTCAGGAAAATATAAATTGCCACTCAAGTGCCTCATGGTAATGGACAATGCTCCTGCTCATCCTCCAAACTTGATAGACCAATTGTCTAGGGCTTTCAGTTTTATAACAGTGAAGTTCTTGCCTCCTAACACCACTCCTCTCATCCAGCCCATGGACCAGCAGGTCATTTCTAACTTCAAAAAACTGTACACCAAAGTAGTGCTTCAAAGGTGCTTTGAAGTGACTTTGGACACTGAATTGACCCTAAGAGAGTTCTGGAGGAATCACTTCAGTATCTACAACTGCATAAGCCTTATAGGTAAGGCTTGGCAGGGAGTGACTTCCAGGACTTTGAACTCTTCTTAGAGAAAATTGTGGCCAGAATGTGTCCTTGAGAGGGATTTTGAAGGGTTTGAAGCTGACCCTGAGGACCCTATGCCTGTTGTGGAATCTATTGTGTCTTTGGGGAAGTCCTTGGGGTTGGATGTGAGTGGCGGGGATGTGGAAGAGTTGGTGGAGGACCACAGGGAGGAGCTAACCACTGAAGAGCTGCAAGACCTTCAACTGGAACAGCAACAGACCACAGCTGAGGAACTTGCTTTAGAGGAGGAGGAAGAGAGGGAAGGAGGTGCCTTCTTCAGAGATTAAGGAGATTTGCTCAATATGGAGTAGGGTGCAAGCTTTTTGCTGAGAAATATCACCCTGACCAAGCTGAAACAAACCATATCTGCAGCATGTTCAGTGACAAAACCTTGGCCTACTTCAGGCAAATCTTAGAGGCATCAGAAACAGACCTCTCTGGATAGTTATTTTTGTGCGACAGGGGTCCGATGACTCTCGAGCTGGGCCTAGTGCCATTAACCCTTAAACGGTCCAAACGTATACATACGTTCATTCACGCAGCGCCCCGAATATTTTGAAAAAAAATTTTATAGAAAAAAAGGGTACATTTTTTAAAGTGCTTTAGAATAAAAAAAAATTTTTTTTTTAGGGTCAGTACTTACCGAGATATGAGGCCTCAAAGTTGGCACTTGGCAATCACCCGATGGCAACATGGAGCACTGCCGCATGCAGAAATTCTACATATTTGCCTTTTTCTTCCATTTTTTTTTTTTTTAATTTTCTTGGTTTTCATGTTATGATAATTATGTTTTATGGCAAATCTTTTAATTTCAATGCCAATTGTTGTTTATACATCAATATTATATATGAAATTATTATCGTATTGTCATAAACACACGTACACACTGACAGGTGATTTTTCACACCTGGCTGAATCACATTCTATTATCTACAACTATATACAAGTATTTACATGTCCTACTTGTGTTTCTAGAACTCCATGATTGTATGATACTCCATGAAGCATGGATTCATACAGAGTGCCACCCTACACTGGTGACAAATGAATCGTGTGTCCTTCCGTTGTTGGGGTCGTTTTTTGGTGGTAGCACACACAGCACACTTTTTCTGGGCATTCTTCTTTTGAGTAGGTGGTATTGGTACCAGATAGTGACAGTTAGGAGTGATTTGATCTGGCACTTCCCCTACTGGCTGTGGTTGGGGGACAGGTTGTGGTGTGACAGGTCACTGTTGAGGTGCAGGTACAGGTGTGGTACCATACTTTCTTGCTGTTTGACAACATTCAGAGAGCATTCTGCAAAACGTTGTTGTTTTCCAGTCTTTATTTCATACATATTGAATGCATCGAGCACTGCAATATCTACAAGGTGAGAAAACAGTTTTATATACCACTTGCGACTTCTACGCACACAGTTCACAAACCCTATCATCATGTCACACTTGTCGACTAGTTGCATATTGTTCGTATAGTCCACGACAGCAGCTGGCTTTACAATAGGTTCTTTGTTGTACTTGCTCAGTCTGTCTGTCTGTACCATTTCGTTTCTGTGGATGGTTGACAGCAATGTCACGTCCCGTTTGTCATGCCGTGTCAGTGCCATGATGTCATTAGCGTGAAACACTTGCACTGCACCTTCAACACTGCCTCCACTGAACCTTGGCATATGTTTTCTATTCCTTCTCACTGTTCCACATATATCAGTATTGTTCACATGTAGGAAATCAGTGAGCATAGGGCTTGTATAACAGTTGTCTGTGTGCAATGTATGGCCCTTGCCAAGGTATGGTTCCATCATCCTGCGAACAGCATCACCGGAAATGCCCAACATCGGTCTGTCATCATCGAGTGTATTTCTCCCAGTGTATACAGTAACATCCAACATAAGACCACTCTCAGAGTCACACACAACAAAAAGTTTTATACCAAAGCGATTATGTTTGCTCGGCATATATTGCTTGAATGACAAGCATCCCTTGAACAGAATCAAGGACTCATCAACAACAGTGTTCTTGAAGGGATAAAAGTATGCACTGAATTTCTGCTTCAAATACATAAACACTTCCTGGATTTTTTATAGAAGGTCATTTCTGTTCAGCGTATTTCTGTCTGAGAAATGCAACATTCGTAGCAAGAGAGTGAATCTGTTGCAGGGAAGGAGGTCACGGAAAACTGGAGTACTGATGAAGTGGTCTGTGGACCAGTAATTACGTATATTGTTCTTAAAGATATGTGGCATAAGTATGACAGTGGCAAAGAATAAATACATTTCAGCCACTGTTGTGTCCTTCCACCTGTACAGCCGTGACGATTCTCCAACCTCCGTTATGTTGTCCATGACATATCGGTAATACAGTGGACCCCCGGTTAACGATTTTAATCCGTGCAAGAGGGGTAATTGTTATGCGAAATAATCGTTATGTGAATGAATTTTCCCCATAAGAAATAATGGAAA